CGTCATTCATTTTCTGGACGAGTTCGTTCTTCGTGGGTGATGCCGTGTAGGACGACTTGTCGTGCCGCTCAGCAGCATTCGGATACGGCAACGCAGTCACCGCAGTTTTTAGTAATACCATCTTCAGCCGAGAAGGACTCCCATCATACAACACTTACAGCGAACATGTGCAACGAAGCATGGAACACATAGTTAACGCATGAGAAGGACATACTATGGATGAGAGACAGCAGTGTTAGGAAGACAGACGCCGTGATTCTCATTTTCTGTCCAGCTGCCTGCAGCAAATCCGCCACCGTGCCAGCGAAGCACTCTGTGTGGGGTAGGGGCCCTTCGAGTACCGCCCAGCCCAGAAGGCCGTCAAACGCGACGCCTCGCGTCTCCACTTAGTTCTTGAGGAGTTCTAATGCGCTGATTTTGGCTGTCTTGGGGCGGTCTTGGGATCCTGTGCGGCAGGCCTGGGGTTTGCTTCAGGCCCTCTTGGGCCGTTTGGGGGGTTCTCTTGGCCGTCTGGGGGGCCTGTTGGAGCTGTCTTTGGGTCGTCGTGGGCCGTCTAGGGGCCTTCTCGGGGCTCTCATTGGGTTCCTTTTTGAGCCCTCGAAGACCGCAAGTAGACTATATTCGTCCGAAGAGCGTGGACAGCGAAACACGTGTTCGACCACGTAAGGGTATCAATGTTTATGGCCTCTCGAGGGCCGCCTGTAGAGCGTCTTCAGGATGTCGTAGGGCCTGTTGGAGCCACTAAAGACATTTTGGGCGCTTTTCGAGGGCTTGTGGATACATCTTGAGGCAATGTTGGGTCGTCTTGGGGGCCTTGGTGGCCTTCTGGGCCGACTTGGAAGCCTTCGAGATCGTTAGAGAGCCCGAAGGAAGCGTCAGGCTTCCCTGGAAGCCTCGGGAGGGGGCTGGGGGCATGCCATTAGAAGGCTACAGGAGCCCTACCAGATAGCACTTGGCATTTTACCACGCCTCAACGTGCCAAGGGGCGCGGCGTCGGATGAGCGCACGCGTGAGCGGTCTCGAGTCACAATCACCTTTCATGTCCCGTGTTTGACCACGTGTGACCACTTGCTTGCGGCGTAATTGGCTTGCGCGGGCCCGTGCCCTGTGCTTCCAGATCCAGGTCCCCTTTGGATGCGCACGCGCACGCGCGCACCACAAGTTTGAATCAGCATGCACTGGCCGGGAGGTGTCTGGCGTCACGTTCGGACTCGGCTTCATACGTAGATCGCGATCCCGTTGTGTGCACGGCTGCGCACATGGCCTAGGTCAAACAGATCGTCACATATTTTATCCAGGAATAGGTTGTGGTCGGACCAGCCATGTTTTTCAGCTCCCCCCCGTGGTTCCCTCGGCAGTGTTGGTGCGTCTACAACGCGAATGCGGGCTGGATGCGTGCTGCAGTATTGTGACATCGTAGAGTCTTATATCTCGTCTGCTTTCCAGTGGATGGGTCGTGGGGTGCTCCGCGTCTCTCCGGCCTCAGGCTCTCAAGGAAGAGAACCTCGTCGTGGCGGAGGCTTCGACATTTCTCATCGCACAGACACGGGCTGGAAGAGGCAGGGCGAGAGGGGGAAGCGGGCAAGGTGGAAGGGTGCCGCCCGTTTGAGGCGGCTTGTGACATCCGACGTAGCCGCACCGCATGCTCTGCGTTGGCGAAGGGACAGCTGGTGTGCGAAGAAACGGGCCTTGCTGCCATTTCTGGGCGGCCATTTCGGAAGATGCGGTCGAGTCAGTTTTTGTTGGTGGACCCCCCAACGTGTCTCCTCGGATCGCATCTGAGGCATAGGGCCAGGGCATGCTCTCGAGCAAGGCTGTCCAGAGTTTGATCGGTTCCATGCGTGCCGACTTTGCGCGTTGCATCGATCGATTCGGCCAGTCTCCCCCCAGGCCAATCCCCCATCCATCGAAGAAGGAACTTTTGGCGCTCCGCGCGGATTTCTTGGATCCGCGCCTGGGTCCCCCGGCAGCGCCTCCGGTGCCGCCCCTGGCGCGCGGAGCGTGCCAAGGAGGGGGGTCCAGCGCGAATCCAAGAAATCCGCGCGGAGCGCCAGCAGTTTATGTTTATGTGGTTATTCTGCAAATCCAACGATCGCGATGGAGCTTCTGCTGATCGATCGATCTGCGATTCGGGGCAGGCTTTGAATGGTGGGTTCGATCAGGTCACCCGCAGAGGCGCCAGGACGTTCGCGCTTCGTGGTCTGGGCGGGGGAGTTTTTCTTGTCCAGCGGGGCGGCGCGGGGCCTCGATGAGAAAAGCTACTCCTCACGCCTCGCACGGCGCGAAGCGAGAAGTCAGGTGACCCAGGTCGGGTTTTCGATCTCTATCGACCTGCGCTTTGAACACGCGACTCGGTCGATCTGCGATTCAGAGCAGCTTTCGGGTGGCCATGTTGATGGTTCGATGCGCCTGGTCCGCACCTCGCCGTCCCCAGTCCTTCGCCTCATCTTTCTCTTCCTCGTCTCCCCCCCGAGCACCATCTTGGCTCTTGCGCCCGCCTAGGCCTGCCCCGAGCCTCTGGGAGGTCTACTTGTGGGCTGCTGCGCTCGCATCGTGCGGCGGCAGCGGAGTCAGGGCAAGCATGCGTGGGTCTCGCCGCGGCCCACGCTGGTTGCCCGTCGGGTGGCGCTGCTGGGGCCAGCAGGTCACGCAGAGGGCAGGCTCTCGCCGCGTCGCGGCGGCAAGGACGCCAACACTCTGCAGCTCCCCAGCAGGCGGCGGGGACGGATCGGGCGTGCCGGCCGCTTCCGCGGCCCTGGTCGCCTCATCGCCACCCACCAAACCACCCCAACCCAACCCGAAGGCTCAGATTTGCCCTCCATTTCCAGTGGGGGGGGGTCGCGGAACATCGAAAAAACACGTATGGAACCCTTACCCCCCCCCAACCCGAAATTCGGGTCTTCGGGTTGGGTTGGGGTGGTCTGGTAGGTAGTCGCCTCAGCGAGCGTGCCGGGCTTCCTTGGCGGGTCTCGGGCCGCCCGACGTCCAGGCGGCGCAGGCGGTCGTCCGGCTGTGCGTCGGCAGTGCGGAGGCCCCCTCGGCCACGGCCTCGGCGGAGGGCGCCTTTCCGCAGGGCTGCGCGTGGACGGGCCTCGGCCGCAACCGCACACGGCGGCCGCAGGGGGCGCAGTCGTGCGCGCATGGCGTGGTCGCGTCGGCCGAGGCGAAGGAGCCCTCCTCCGCGCGGAGGCGGGAGCGGCCGGGCAGCGGGCGGCAGCGGCAGTCGCATCTGGGAGGTATTGTTCAAAGGCCAGCAACATATGTACACGTACGCGGTTAGCATCCCCTGGAGGGCGTTTGAACGAGGACGTTCGTGCATTCAAGATCGCGGAGGGCGTACATGTACATATGTCGTTGCTCGCTCAATTGTGGGGGCCTCTGGTGCACTCTGGGGAACGGGGCTTCTCGAGGGCCCACGGGGCCTTGGGCGCCTGCCGGCGGTCTCGTGGGCCATCTCTTTTTCTGGTCCGAGGCTCTGAGCGCCAGTTCGGGTTCCCCTCTTGGGCCCCTCTCGTGGCCCTTTGGGCGCGTTCTGGGCCTTCTTGGACCGTCTTGGATCGTTTGAAGCCCGAAAAGGCGAGGGTAACAGAGGGACATCTATGACTTTGGCCTCTTGGGGCCCTCTTAGGGGGTCATCTTGGGGCCCTCTTGGGGAGTCTTGGGAGCCTTGTAGGCCGTTCGGCGGGTTCCAGCGGGTGAGACCTTATGGCGCCCACCACTCTGCGGCACGTCATCGCGACCCTGGACCTTATGATACAAAACATCCTCCATGACATCAGACGCAGAGCATGGTCGGGACCCCCCGGACGGGACCACATGTCACCAGAACGATCTGCGGGGCGTCATGCCCAGGGCGGGACCCGATGGGCGGGAGCCTCTGACACCAAATATTCCTCGCGGCTCATGGCGTCAGACACAACCCATGGGCGGGCCTTCGTGGCACCGAGAATTCCTCGGCGCATCATTCACAACCCTGGGCGGGACCCCATGGGCAGCAGCCTACGGCACCGAAAAATCCGCGCAGCCTACGGCACCGAAAAGACCACGCGGAAAAGGACCCAAAGTGCACGCCTGTCTGGGCAACCATTTCTCATGTAGCCAACCATCTCGGTATGGATTCAGAGCTTCATCACGGCGTCCATTATCCTCATTTGTTCGGCCGCGCGCGCGTTTGGACAGATCTCGACCCCCGTGCTCTATTTTCACGTGTTGCAGCCGTCGGCCGAACATCCATATCTCGAAGCGGAAAAGGCCCGTTCCCGCGGGCATCTTTTTGGCGCGCCAGTGCCTTACCGCGTGATGTGACAGATCGCGAAACCCATCGGTGTCTGAAAGAGGCGCAGCGGCTCTCCGGATAACATCATGTGCCTTGCTCAGAGGGCCTCTTCGACGAACTGCGCTCTGCTGCTAGCAGCTGCGGTGTTGCCACCCTGTGCGTGATCTGGCGCTCTGGCAATGATTTCGCTGGCGTGCGAGTAGCCAAAACGATAAGGGAGCGACGGAACGAGAGGAGATGATCGCCATGACGGGGACGAGGGTGACAAAGGAGGAGGAGGAGGAGGAGGAGGAGGAGGAGGAGGAGGAGGAGGAGGAGGAGGAGGGGGAGGAAGAGGATGAGGCAGGGCGGGTGCTGCCTGCAGGAGAGATTAGGGGGGTGAGGACGGAGATGGAGGAGGATCCTTGCCCCCCTCCTCGCTGTGTTCGTCCCTCTCGTCTCTTGCTCCCCTCGTAATCCTGCTCGCTCTCCCGCCAGCCCCTAGCATCGTGAGGCTTAGCTGCACAACGGAGCCCGACAGGCCCAGAGGCAGCGAGGTAGTAGTCCATTGCAGTCGTTTCCAAGCCGTCATCTAGGCACACCAGGTCCGAGTTTGAGCTCCAGAACCCCCAAGCTCCTCGACCTCCTCGCGCCCTCGCAGTCTTCGTCTCCCGTTCCTCTTGGCCCCGAGCGCGAGCTCCCCAGAGGCTGGGCCGCTTCTTCCAGGGAGACTCCGCCCGGGGCAGGCGGCCCGCGCCAACGCTGCTGCCAGAGGCCCATGGGGCGGGGCCGCCCCACCGCTTCTGCCGCCTGCCGCCGCTGCCGCTTCTGCCGCTTGCCGCTGCCGCCGCTGCCGCCGCTGCCGCCGCCGCCGCTGCCGCTGCCGCCGCTGCTGCTGCCGCTGCCGCTGCCGAGGGCCCGGCATCCCACCACCACTGCAGTCAGACGCAGCAGCAGTGGCGCAGTATTTGATCAAAGCTGCTCGGGACAGGTGGTCCCGACCACCTTCCCTATTCTTTCTTGGTGGAGTCGTCGTCCCATCAGTTGGGAAGATGACAGTTTTAATCATCAGGTGGTTCCTTTGGAAGAACTGATCAAAGCTGCTGCTGTATCCCTGCCTGTTCAGCGTTGCCCTTCGGTCGGCCGCCGCATCTGCTAATGCTGCAACATTGGTCTTTGGCCTTCCGAGAGTTGTGTATCCTCGACGTGGCCATGTACTATCATGCACATGTCTGCCTGATTGCATTAGTGGTGGAGACGAATCGCCTTGCAGGCCTGGAAGACTTCAATGCGCAGTTGCACCCAGCCCGCCCTGAAGCCTTGAAGATCTGAAAGGCCGTCGGACTCTCACCCCATAGCGGCCGCGAACAACATGGCCATCGCCTTCTGCTCCCCGGCATCTTGGCATCATGGGACCTGTCTCGTCTCGGGCCTTGCAGCCCTCCTCGAGCTCAAGCGCAAGTTTTTTGCCATGGCGTTCGATGCGCGAGGCGTGGCCCACGGGGCCCGAATGTTCGTGTGTTGCAGTCGCCGGGTGTGGCGCGAGCATGAACACGTTGAGGTCCTGGGGCGCCGCAGCGTCGCGGGAAGAGTTTGCGTCTGGTTTCGAGGGGGTACGGCAGGTTCATGCGGCGTTGGCGTGCCGGCGACGCCGGCGAAGGCGGCCAAGGCTGAGTTCTACGACGCGGAAGCACCAAAGGGCACGGTAGCGCCATCGGACCCGACGGAATTCAACCTTGAACGATCGGGGTTGCGATCGGTTCAAGGTTGAACCACCAACGCGGTGTCAAGAACCTCAATTCGCGCCGACGCCTGACGTACCTACCGAATGCGGCACCCTCACAAAGCGAACTCGCCCGAGAGAGAGAGATCCCGCCCGCAGATCGGTCGAGGGCTCCAGGCATCATTTGCTCCGCCGCTGGTGCTCTGCCACGACGCCGTGTTTTGTTTGTTAGTCGGTTAAAAACCAGAAACATGACTAAAACACATATATATATGTATGGTCGCCCCCCTACAGCACCCTCAAACCACCAAGACCACAAAATCTTCACTGATCGTTTGCTCCTCGTCGCTCTCCTCCTCCTTGGGGGTACGGGGGGGGGGGCAAGCATACCTACCTACCTACCTACCTACCTACCTACCTACCTACATACATACATACATACATACATACATACATACATACATACATATATATATATATATATATATATATATATATTCGCGGCGTGGGATGTCGGGGCCGCTCTCCTGCTCCTGGCCTCCCCCTTTTTAGGGCAGCCGAGCCGGACGATCTGCACGGCGATCCCGCGCTGCGGCAGCGCGTCGCCGTTCTCTGGGCGCTCCGTGTGTCTTTTCCGGCTAATTTGACAGGCCCGTGGCCCGGACCTCTCAGCTCGGCGATTGCGAATCCGCGTCCGCCCGCGACCAAAAAAAAGGTGTGTGTTTCTGGCGCTTCGCTTCTGTGCTTCACTTCCGTGCCTGGGAGCGAAGCGGTCGCCGTAGAGATGTGGACCCAATGGGCGACGGGAGCCTTGAGGTACAGGCATCGGTCCTGTGGCTCCTCGTGCTCTCATGCTCCCTTGCCTCCTCGTGCTCTTCCTCCTGCTGCTGCCTCTGCTTATCTACCCTCCCTTCTCCCTCCTACTGGGATTCGGAGATGCCCGATTGAGTTCGAGCTGCCTAGACCTCGCTGCCTCGAGCCATCGGCTTCACATCACTGGCGCCCCCCCTCCCCCCGCGCGCGCGACGACGACAATCATGAGGATGAGGATGAGGATAAGGATAATGAGGATGATGCTGCTGCTGCTGATGATGAGGGTGCCTGTGATGCTGCTGATGACCAGGATGATGATGCATGTGATGATGATGCTGCTGATGATGATGATGATGATGATGCTGACGATGATGCGGCTGATGGTGATGATGTTGATGATGATGATGCTGATGATGATTCCGATGACGATGACAATGCTGATGCTGCTTATGATGATGATGAGGATGATGATGATGCTGATGGTGGTTGTGGTGATGATGATGCTGTTGATGGTAAAACTGGTACTAATGTTGATTATGTTGATGAAGCTGATTATGATGCTGCTGCTGATGATGATGACGATGCTGCTGCTGATGACGATGATGATGATGCTGATGATGATGATGAGGATGGTGATGATGACGATGCTGATGGTGGTTGTGGTGATGATGGTGATGATGATGATGATGATGATGATGATGATGATGATGATGCTGATGATGATGATGATGGTGGTGGTGGTGGTTGTGGTGTTGTTGAAGGTGATGTTCATTTTGTTGATGCTGATGGGGATGGTGCTGTCGATGATGATGATGATGGTGGTGACGATGCTGTTGCTGATGCTGATGCTGATGGCGGTGATGGTGGCGATGGTAATATTCATGCTGATGATGATTATTCCGCTGCTGCTGTTGTTCATGATGATTACTCCGATGATGATTATTCATGCTGTTGTTCATGATGATGGGATGATGATGATGATGTTGCTGACGATGACGATGATGATGCTGCTGATGCTGATGATGCTGATGGTGGTGGTGATGATGATGGTGATGGTGGTGATTGTGATGGTGATGATGATACTGATGTTGCTGCTGGTGATGCTGATGCTGATGGTGGTGGTGATGGTGATGGAAATGATGATGGTGATGATGACAATGATGCTGATGACGATGATGATGATGATGATGATGCTGATGATGATGATGATGATTTGGGTGATGGTGATGGTGATGGTGATGCTGCTGATGTTGGTGGTGGTGGTGGTGATGCCGCTCCTGACGATGATGATTCTGCTGATGATGATAATGATGCTGATGATTTCGATGGTGATTATGACGATGACGATGACGATGATGATGATGATGCTTCTGATGATGATGATGATGACGCCCCGATGTTCTGATGATGATGCTGATGATGCCTCTGCTGATGATGCTGATGATGATCATAGTGATGCTGATGCTGCTGCTGATGATGATGCTGATGATGATGCTGATGGTGATGATGACGATGATGATGATGCTGCTGTCGATGATGATGATGATGATGATGATGATGATGATGATGATGATGATGATGGTGGTGATGGTGATGGTGATGGTGATGGTGATGGTGATGGTGATGGTGATGATGATGATGATGATGATGATGATGATGATGATGGTGATGATGGTGAGGATGAGGATGATGATAATACTAATTAGTTTAATAATGCTGAAGGTGATGATGACGCTGATGATGATGCTGATCATGATGCTGCTGCTGCTCATGATGATGCTGATGGTGATGATGACGTGGGAATCCTCGACCAGGAGTCGCAGTCGGAGAAGGGAGGGTCAGGCCCTGCGAAGCCGTGAAAGCCGATGAATGGCCGCCATGCGCCCACTCGCCCCAGATGGGTGCCGAGATTCGGCAAACCCCAGCCCAGTCAGGATTTTGGCGGAGGACGGCCAGCCCTGGGATCTTGCCCCCCCTCCCTCGGAGGGCAGCAGTGCTGTGTCGCGCCCCTGCGGCCGCCGCGACGGGGTCCACGGGGCCGCGAGATGCTGTGACACGTGCCCGCAGGTCACGCGCTTCCGCCAAGCGGCGGGCGCGGCATCGGGCGCCCCCCTCTGCCTCATCGCGTGGGCGGAGAAGCAGGGCGAGCAGCCAGGGCGCCCCAGCCCCCCGCTCCGGCGGGCTTCATCACCGATCCACCGTCGGGCTCCGCCGTCGACTTGGAGGCGCAGTCGCAGTCATTCCGTGCTGGGGAGGGGGCGGGGCGCCTGTGCAGATTGACCAGCCATACCCCCGCGGACCTCAGCCTAGCCCTATCGAGCAGCGCCTCGCCAGCGCCGCCTGTCGGGGCAGGACCTCTCCGCTCGGGGACGCCTTCGGCCCCGCCCCTTGCCAGCGTCCTCTCAATCGAGCTCATGATTGCGATGATGGGCCAATTCTCCACCACCGCTACCAGAGGTAGGACGGGGGAGAAGGGAGGACGGGAAGGTCTTCCTCCTCCTCCCCCCTCTCCTACACATGGTAGTGGTGGTGGAAAATCGGCCCATCATGCGAAGGCTCGCGCGCACTGGGCCGACGGGGCCAAAGGGCGATCTTCTGGGGGCGGGTGCCTCGGCGGGCGGGCGCCGTGCGTCCAGATGGAGCAGCGGCGCTTAGGTGTAAGCCGGGTATGTCACTCTACAGGAGTAGTATTCTGAAATCGTCAAAAAATGAGATGGGGGCGATTTTGCGACTATTCTGGACTATTTCCCTACCTAGGCTCTGCCTAGAAGGGTTCTTACCCTATATGCTTAAACGGGCCGGGCAGTGGGGCTCGCCCAGGGCGGTTCCCCCAGGATCCGCCCCGCGGTTCCCCCAGTGACGTTCCCTTAGCTTAGCGTTGCTTATCTCACCTTAGCTTACCTTATTTCATCTTAGCTTAGCTTAGCTTCATATTAGCTCAGGTTTATCTTAGCTTAGCTGCTTCGCTGAACTTTAGCATATCATAGCGCTGCATAGCATAGCAGAGCGTAGCATTAGCATGGTTGTAATTCCCTACCTAGGCTCTGCCTAGAAGGTTTGCTTAGCTTAGCTTAGCTTAGCTTAGCTAAGCTTAGCATAACGCAGCGCTGCATTAGCATAGCATAGCATAGCATACCATAGCCAATCATATCATAGCATAGCATAGCATAGCGCAGCATAGCATAGCACATCATAGCATAGCATAGCATAGCATATCATAGCATATCATAGCATAGCATAGCATATCATAGCGCAGCTTATCATACCACATCGTATACTATCATATCATAGCTTAGCATAGCACAGCGCATCATGGCATATCATAAACTAGCACATCATAGCATTTCATAGCATCACATCGCATAGCGCAGCATAGCATAGCATAGCATAGCATAGCGCAGCATAGCATGGTATAGCATAGCATAGCATAGCAAAGCAACTAATGCTGCTTTCCTAGGGGCTCCAACTTCTAGGTAGGGTCGCACTGGGGTAATTTTGAATGTTGTAGTGGCCTTCGGCCAGTGCCGCCGATCCGGGGTGCTCGGACTGATGTGATCATCCTTCGCCCTCGTCCCTCCTCTCTTTTCCCTTCCTTCCCCTCTCAGTCCGCATTTATCCATTGGCCTTCGGCCTATCCCGCCACCGTGCGTGGGTGGTGGGTCAGAGGCCTCATGGGCGCTGGTTGTGATCTCGTGGTTGGCTGGGACCTCTGGGGGCCTCTTGGGGGCCTCTTGGGGCTTCTTGGGGGCCTCTTGGGCCTCTTGGGGCCACTTGGGAGCCTCTTGGGGGGTGTCTTGGGGGTCTCTTGGGGCTTCTTGGGGGCTTCTTCTGGGCCCCTTGGGGCCTCTTGGAGGCCTCTTCGGAGCTTCTTGGTTCGGGAGGGGTGGTACTCGAGTTCGGAACCCCCTCTGAGGCCACGATCCTTGTGAGGGGTGTCAAAAAACGCTCCCACCCCGCATCCGCCGGAAACTCGCACCCCCCCCCCCCCACCCCCCTTCCCCGGCAGAGCCACCCCGGCAACCCCCCCAGAGGCTGAGGCTCAGCCTCGAGGCTGTAGCTGAGACTCCTTGAAACTCACACGCCGGATCGGCGGATTTTTGGTCCATGTTGAATTTTTCGTCCAAAGTCCGTCTGTAGGAGGACATGCCTGACCTAAGCCTAGGTGCCCGCGCCTCTGGGCAACAAGCGCGTCCTCCAGCGGTTGTTCCACTGGAGCTTCCACGTCGAGCTGAGGGCTTCTCCAATGTCAGGAGACGTGCAAGGGTCAGGCGATCGCAAACATGGATCAAGGGGGCGCGGATTAGCGACGGGTCCCGTTTGAAATTGGACCCGTCGCTAATCCACGCCCCCTTGATCCATGTTTGAAGCGGGTCCCGTCGCGATTTCCCATGGAAACGGGCCGTTCCCATGGGGAATCGCAGGTTTCTGCCGCCGAACGGGGCGGCACCAGTCGCATTTTGGGGAGGGCCTCTCCCCCAAATCCATGTTTGCGCGCCCCCGACAATGTGCGGAGAAGTGCAAGAGAGCCGGGGCTGGCAGTCGGCGGCTGACCCCGCCAAGGTCAGGGCTGGCAGGCGCGCAGCCCCGAATCGACAGGCTGAGGACACCGAGCGTGCATGTCCCCAGCGTGGAAGCGGCTGTTGCCGGAGGGGCTGCTGCCTCCGTCAAGGAACGCCACGAGACAATATTGGTAAACCCATATGATGGGCTGCCTGCAAGTGTTTGGGCTGTTCCAAGATGGCTGACGCCTTCGCCCGCCGCCGCGTTCCCTTACAGGGGCTCGGAGGCCGCCGTTGGAGGGTGAGGCCGAGGTTGGCTCCGAGGAGGATGCTGGAGGCGGAGGGCGCGCTGGGGGCGGTCCTCTGTCAGGGAGGGCTGCCCCCGCCGAGAGGCCGTGTCCAGTGCGCGGCGCTTGAGGACGAGCTCCGTGAAGCGGTGCAGGGGCCTGGCGCGTCTTGACTGCTCTGAGTTTCTTAATCAGTGTGGGGGGGGCGTCAATCCCGCCGACGGCCCCACATCGACCCCCGTCGCGGGCGGCCACCGCGCGCCGAAGGCGCTCCGACCCCCCGTCGCGGCGCGACGACGAGGCGAGGTTGACCCCCGTCGGGGGGATGCCCCCCCACGCTTGTTAAGAAGCCCAGAGTACAGGATTGTCGCGAGGGCAAGCCATTCGTCTATGGCGAGGCGGCTGGCGACCATCCGGTTGCGCAGCCCCCCAGAGGCTGAAACATCGCGTCGAAGGGGCCATCTGCACTCCGACTCGCTGGCGCGGATCACCCAAGCCTGCGCCGACGGCGCCAACCTTGAGCTAGAGCAGGCGCTGCTCGAGGGGGCCCGCAACGGTGACCTAGAGCGGCGCGGGTCGAGGGGGCCAACGAGATGCGCGGCAAGATCGGTGAAGCTGTGGGCCTCTGGGGCGACCCCGACGTGGGCATCAGCCCGCCAAGTGGAGCAGCAGGAAGGCCGTCGGACACGGCGCCGTTACCGTGCTCGGCCAGACCCGGAGCTTTTTGGATTTCTAGGACAAGTTACGCGACGTTGCAGCCGAAGGACAGATCTGGGGAGGAGCATCAGTGCCCAACCTTCCACCTAGCCGCAGCGGTCCTGAGGACGCAGCCCGCGGGCCCGACCGTTGAGAGGATCCAAAGCCCCGCTCTGGCGATGCGCCCGGAGCTTTTGGATCGCACCATTTCGGCGGCCGCAGTCCTG